TTAGGTAATCTTAATTATAATTACATTTTGTGTTTGTGAAAGTTAAAGATAATCGAAACCAGTGAAGCAGTAATACTTGTCCTGCTTTAAAAGTAACATTCAATTTGGTATATAAATATGTATTTTAATTAATACAATAAATAAATATACAAATTGAAATATGTATCATAAATTTCATTATTGACAATACATAAAGACCCAACGGTTATATTACAATAAAAAAGTTACAATCTTTGTGTGGAACTTGGTGCTTACATTACAGTTCTTGCGGTGTAATGCTTGTCTGTAGAGCATATGGGAAGCTCTTTGGGATAGTTCAAGCTAATAGCTACATTTTTAGAAAAATTAAAAAAATAGACATAATTTCATGAAAAACTCAAACTTCTGAAGAAAACATTGCCTTGCTGCACACATTCCCTTGCCGAGAATCGAACCTGGATCCCTGGTTTTACGCACCAGTACTCTACCACTAAACTATAAGGAAGTAACAGCAACATTGGTTATCTGTAGTAGTAGGTAAAATTAATTCACTAATACATTGAATTAACCCTACAAAAATTCAGTGTCTCAAAATGCACCACTTTGAAAAATCGGACCCCTTTACCCCTATGAAAAAAAATGATTTTAAACAACTTTCTCATTTGACATTTTTCCCTAAAATCAACAGAAAAAGAGTTATAAAAGAAAAACCAAAAACAATATCGAAAATTTTTTTTTTCTATCCACGGTATCGTTATGATCCGCATATAACACCACATTTCGAACGCTTCTAATCTTTCCCTACTGTTTCTTCCCTAGTATAGCAGTATTTTTATTTTACTTTTATTAATTTTCATACAATATGTTTTCACTTTATTTAAAGCTATCTCTAACTTCTCCTTATTTGATATATTACTGCTACATCATCTGCAAATCTAAGCATACTGATCTTTTGTCCCTCTATATCTACCCCTACAGTTGTACTGTGTTTAATGATATTGATTACGCCTTCGATGTATAGATTAAACAGTAGCGGTCCAACTCCTTTCCTAATATTTACTACTCTACGTTGCTGCTTCAGATCTATAACTGGCTGTTGCTCTTTATGCTCTAAGTATCACTATTCTATCTTTTTAACTCATCCTTACATTTTTAAGTATATGTATTTAACATCTTGTCCCATTTAACATTAACAAAAGCTTTTTCTAAATCTACTAATCATATGTACGCATTATTTCCTTTTTCTATCGTTTTCTCTATTGATACTCTTAAAGCTAAAATGACCTTGCGCGCTCCTCTGTTTCTTTTAAACCCAGATTGATCTTACCCTGAGAGTTCTTCCGCCCTTCTCCGTACATTTTAGTTAAAATTTTGAACGCATGGGAAGGTAAGCTAATTGTTCTAAATGTATCGCACCTGGTATGGTTACTATCACCGTTTATAATTCTCCGGGACTTTCCCCGTCTCGTAAATGTGACTATCTTAAACATACGATCTCTAACTTCTTGTGCTGCATGTTTTAGAATTTTCGCCTGTATCCAGTCTATACCTGGCGCCTTATTATTCTTTAAGTTTTTTAATGCTACATCGAACTCTTTTCTCGTTGAATAAACAAAATAGCTCAAACCCCAACGCCAAAACACGACACTATAGTTGTCCGAAGCACTTTTCGGTAACAAGGTTATCTTCTTCAGGAACTGAAGTGTCGTGATTTGGCATTGGGGTTTGAGCTGTTTGTTCTATAACAACCACCAAAGTTTTTCCAATCTTCATATTTCTTTTCTCGTTGTAAGATAACCCAACTCACTTATCTCCACACTATCTTTTTCTAATGTTTGATCCAAAAGAACCTGTTATTGCACCTTTTTTACCTTCACTTAGTACTGCGTTGAAGTCTCCTACAACTGTTAGGTTTTCTGTCCTGTCATTAAACTTAGCACGTGTTCTATTGAAATACTATATCGCTTCTATATCTTCATCATTGTAAGATGATGTAGGCATATAGATCTGTACTATTACCGTTTTTACCGCTTTCGAGTTTAATTTAACTATAACTATCCTGTCGCTCCACTCCAGAAGTCTCCCGTTTTTGGCCGGACGGACTTCACTAATGCCTACTGTATCTAATTCGAATCTATTCATCTCGACTTTCAAATTTTCTAGCTTCCCTACTTGCCTCATTGCCCTAACATTCTACGCCCCTACTGAAGTATTGCACCTTCTCCTATTGCACTTGATGACATTCTCCGAGGTAGTCCTTTCGACATCCGAATGGGGGACTAGTTTACACCCGGAGTGCTTTGCCCCAGAGGACGCAATCATGTAATTTGTTGAGTTGTACGTTGTACTCTGGATCATAATGTGGTGGTTTTCCGTTACCTTCCACATTATTCTTTATTATTATTCACTTCCGCAGTATTATGCATCTGAGTGCCATACCGATCCTTGTGATCCCTGCCACTTTGAGTAGTGTAAGATTTGCTGCCCTCTTTTAGAAACTTGTGTTAGTCTGGTTTCTTTTTAAGAACCCACTCCACCCATTATGGTTCAACTTATGGTCCGGCTGTCTAAATCATCAGAACTCGCAAGCCGATCCACCCACTCTAATTTGTACAAGAAATTCGTCAAGGTTCAAGTCCCGTCAGATCGGTAATTTACTTTTACAGAATTGAAAGTACAAATTAGTCCGTAACCAATGGCTAAATCGGACGTGGACGTCGCGTCGCGTCGTGTCGGCGATATACGCTTTACGAGGTCCTTTTTATGTCTCGGCTAGAAAAAGTACTAATAAAGTAATTAATTTTTGTTTAAATGTTTATTATAATTGTAATGATTAAAAACAGAAACAATAAGTTATATTTATTCTATCAATGGTACATGAGTATACTAACACCACCCCATTATCACAGCAACGAAAAACTATTTTAGAAGATTAAGAGACAAAGCTCATCATTACCTTCTCGCTTCTCGGGAAAAACTTCACAAAACGTTACGAACTACGCCTGAAGGTAGGGCGGAAGGTTCTCTTCGGCCTCCTTTCAAAAATCGTGAGAATGGGTGGGTGGTGGTTTTGAGTGAAATAGATGAGACGGACGAAATGAAGATAGAAGAGAATGAAAGATTATCTGTGGAATATTACTGTCCCAGCATTTACCTAAGTGATCAAAGGAAACCACAGAAAAACTTGAACCAAGACAGTTGGATCCGGAATCGAACCGGCGTTCTCCCGAATGCTAAGCAATGGTCTAAAAATCACAATCGTCACGGTAACTGCTGGTACCCACGTTTTATTGATGTTGTCTCTGTGTTTCTGGATTTCGATAGTCTCCCTGTAGAGTCGTTGATAGTATGCCGAATTCCTGCACAGCACCTGGATGTCTTCAAATCTTATACGATGATTGTCATTATTAAGCGTGTGTTCGACTATTGAAGATTTTTTTTTCGTGTGTCCCGAACGACAGTTGGCACGTTGTTCTTTCAATCGTGGGACGACTGACCGTTTAGTACTTCCAATATAGACAGACCCACACGAGCATTGGACACGGTACACTCCTGGTGTTACTAGCGGATCCTGTTTATTCTTAGGTAATCTTAAGTGTTGTTGAAGTTTTCTGCTTGCTTTGAAAATTTCTTTAGTCATGTCGTGTAACAGATATGATTGGAATAAGATGGTGAAAATTTCTCACGCAAGTATGCAGAAATGCTTCCAGTTTCAACATAAAAACAAAAAAAAATTTGACAACTTGCGAAAAATAAAAAGAAATGAGGGGACGCCGTAACTAGAAACTTCCAAAGTAAGCTCAAAAATCCTCCGAAGAAGAAGTTTTGGCTACAGGATATAATTTTGCAGTAACACTAAACAAAGTACCAATGGAGGAAATCATCGCAAAATTGGAAACGACCATTCTTAATCTACCAGAAGAAAAAGCCATGGAAATACGTACGGAAGTTGCTAGAGCATTACAAAAAGCAAAACCCCCAAAAGCAACTTCACTAAAGAAGAAGTGCAAGCTTTAAGAGCCCTGAAATCCAAGCTAACGAAGGCAACGCCACAGTCATTCTGGACACAACGTACTACCAAAAGAATTTACTTGATCTTCTACGAATCGACATTTTAGCTGAGAGTATTTGAAGATCAACTGCAGAAATGACCCTCTGAAGTATGATCTTCTACGACTCAACATTTGAGCTAAGATTATTCGAAGATCAACTACAGAAATGACTCTGTGAAGTATGATCTTCTACAACTCAACATTAGAGTTGAGATTATTTGAAGGTCAATTACAGAAATGATCTTGTGAAGTATGATCTTCTACAATTCAACATTTGAGCTGAGAGTATTCGAAAAACAGCTACAGAAATGGCCCTGTAAAGTATGATTTTCTATGACTCAACTTTTGAGTTGAGATTATTTGAAGATCAACTACAGAAATAACCCTGTAAAGTATGATGTTCTACGACTCAATTTTTGAGTTGAGAGTAGGTATTCGAAGATCAACTACAAAAACGATTTTACTTTTTCGCATCGCCATGGTTACAGTGACTCAACTTTTGAGTTGAAACTATTTGAAAATCAAGTACAGTAACGATCCTAGTTTATGGAATCGCCATAGTTACAACGACTTAACTTTTAAATTGAAAGTATTCGAAGATAAACCACAGAAATGATCCTGTGATATAACAAAAAGTTCATATAGCGGTCAATATTCTGTCGGAACAGATAGACGTGGATCGTAATTTCGGCTTTTGGTCTCGTCTGCTCGTCGAAGGCAATTCCAATTAGTGGAATTCAAAAATGTTCAACAACGTTGATAATGATATCAACTTGTTGAACTGTCTATGACGTACTGACATAAAAGTGACCACTATAGGAGCCTTTTGTTTTATTTGATTACGTTCCTATCACGTAGGATTAGCTTTTTAGGTGTTTCATTCCCACCAACCACTAATGCTGGTGGGCGGGCAGTCCCTCCGGACTACACCGGAAGGTAGGGCGGAAGGCCCTTTTCAGTCTCCTTTCAGGAATCGTGGGAATAGGTGGTTCGGGTGAGAAAAATAAGGTGGACGAAATGAAGCTAGAAGAGAATGAAAGATTATCTGTAGAATATTACTGCCCCGGAATTTGCCTAAGTGAACCAAGAAAACCACAGAAAAACTTGGACCAAGGCACACGGACTCAAACCGGTGTCCTCCCGAATGCTAAGCGTTGGACTAAACCTCTAGGTCATGCCGTTCAGTGAGTTCGACAAGTTGATATATCCTTATGGACCTTGTTGAACATTCTTGAACTCCACTAAAACTAAAGGTATTAATATACAGATGGCGTTTACCACGTTGTTTGCAATAGTTTACAGCAATATATGGTTGCTACCAAACTATAAATTTTATTTTATGTTCTAACGTGACATTATAGTTTATTTATTGTTTTTTAGGATAATTTTAAAAATTATATTTGTGGCTGCTTATTTAATCCTCACATTCTATTAGAACCTGAAATATGTCAGTGATGGCTTCCAATTTTTCTTTAATAGACAATGTTTCAAAACTGTAATTGCAACGGAATAAATTTTAATTGTTATCATAAAAAAATAATAACATTAACTTTTTGTTATTATAGAATTAACAGTAACTGATGTGGCCATTTGCAAATACATTCCCAGAAAAGGTTGGGTTAGCTTACGACACTCAAAGGGGTTGAAAACTGGCCATTGAAAGGAGAGGCATTTTTAAGGAGGGTCTTTACTGCATTTCACTTTATAGGGCAAATTTTGTAAATATAGATTTGTAATATAATTGGTTTTCTTTAACAAAGTAAGTTTCTTTTGCAGGATGTGAATGAATATAAACATTGATCAAGTAGCAACAGATTCGTAACAGTAGTTCAAGATTGTAATGACATTTTGAAACATTTTACGTGACTTTTAATGAAACTGTATTTCACAATTTTGGTCTATGCTCCTTATTTCCGACATCCTTATTTCCGATAATGCCCACAATTCTTATTCGGTGTATTCAGGGCTTGAGGAATGAATGTGAAAATTTTATTATATTATTAATTAAAGTTAGAGACTTAATAATCTTTTATAAAAATCAAATATATATAGGTATGATCAAACTTTAATTATGCAATATCCGAAAAATAAACCTTAATATACAATTCATCGTAAAAAACTCAAATGTCGTCGGACATCTATAATTTGCAACAAGTTTTATTTTAAGAAAGAAATGTACAGACTATTAGGATATTACGAAACATAACTTAAGTGCGTATTAAAGCGTCCCTTTATTGTAAAATTTTAACGATTTTGCAAGAATACAAACAAATGTACCTACTGTACGTGAAACAAAAAAATGAGTTTATTTAATATTTTACCGTTTCATTATTTTAACAAAATCAATAATAGTTTACAGACCTGAAGAAGTCATAGCTTATGACGAAACGTTGACAGTTTGATCAAATATAATTCACGTTTGGGATTTTTCCTAATAAACCTAATTTAGTTTTACCTCCTTTTGCATATTTTATAAATTACTACGATAAAATTGATATAAACTATTGTATTTAAACGTACTAACCTAATGGAGGGGCATGGAGGTATTATCAGTTCTTAGTCTGTATTCCCTTCCCAATTTGTTTTCAGTTGCTTTCGTTTTCTGTTAACGTAGCTACAGCGTTACTGTTGGTACGGTACAGGACAAAGGAATTTTTTGTAAAAAATATTAATTCAAAACTCGTTTGATTTTCTTGTAAAATTACGTGCGCACAAGTGTTGTTTTCCNTTGAGGTAATTTGTAGTGGAAAAATTAAAAATAAATATGAATTTTCATTAAATATGTCGTAAACGACTTGATCAACAGCAGCAACAATCACTTAGCCCTTTAATTTGTTTCAATAGGATGATATAGGTAGAGAATGTAACACGGTGGACGATTCTATAATCACGAAGATTTCTTCAAATTTTTACAAATCCTTGTACTTCAATTTCGTGTATTGTTATTTTATGCTGCTTTAATTGCCTCACCATCTCCCCGGATAATATTACAAACACAAATAACTACCTTGTGACTGTGACACGTTCGATGGACAAATTCTCAATCTCGAGTCCTAATCTGTCATCAAAAGAACAGGTTAGCTTAAAAATTCAAAACTAAGAATACCTTCTAAACCTATCATCAACATATACATTCATATGTAGGGGGTTTCTGAAACAAGTCACAAGCTTGCAGCAGGCCAATATACCGTTTTCGAGAAAATCGTGTTTGAAGGTACATTCAAAAGCCAGTCCGACCTTGGTAGGATCACGCTGGGAAATACGACACTGCAACGCCGTATTCAATGAGCTACTACTTAGCAGCGTCCGTGTTGTATTTCTTTTATATTTTTGTAATAATCTATTATTTGTTATTCGCTAGTTAGATTAAGTGTAATTAAAGAGGCTTATGATTACAGCAAGGTAGAGTAGTTCTTTGTTCTTTTAACGTTGTACGCTTTTATTACGTATGTATGTGGACAGTCGAAGTCATTAAAAGTAAGTCAATGTGTCAATATCATAGGTTAGTGCAGAATGGTATTATTGCATTGACCACTGTGTGAGTTTTTAGACAAACATTTTTTTAAGTCGCTAAATTGGACGTACGAGCCGATCATGGTCTGATCTAAATGCGTTTGACTTATTTGTATGGGGTTGTTAAAATGAAGTACGTCAAATGCCGGACGGTTTTGCGCGGCTCAGACATAATTTTTGCAGTGTACGTACGTATGTATGTGTCTTCACTGGAGTTGTAATTAATTTTTTCTAATGGGAGGATAGGGTTATCTGCGACCCATAAAAATGGTAATGCACCTTGGCAATACCTCAACGGTGGTTTTGAAATTTAATAATTACCTATCCAGAGGATATTAATTTACCTATTAAAGTTTATTATATAACCTTTTTTTTTGCTTTCTTTTGTGATTTTAATGCCATATCGAGATGCGCTTTAAATAGTGCTGCATACTTTAAGTAGTTATTTAATTAGTTGTTATCGTAATGGGCGTCTTAAGATTATTATGTGTAGTAGCTGATATTTACTTTATTGGTCGTCCATAACCGTCACTGTTTACATTGGTCATCTATGTAGGTGCTTATTAGTTTTTATTGCAACTTCTCTATACGTTGCCCAATTCACGCCCAGGGCCGGATTCGGATTGTAACTTCGACTGGTTTTCTTACTTTTTTATCCCTTAACAGCACTTCTTTATTCACCATACGACTCCCTATTGCATGTACTTTACACCCTTCAATGCTTGCTACTTATTCCAGAAACACCCAGTGTACATTTTCTATTTGGTCCTTCGAGCCGGATCAGTGGTTTTTTACATAGATATAAGTGAAATTTTACGAAGCAACCGTTTTGGACATCAGTAGCAGCCAGCGGAACAGTAAATTTCCTAACTTTCATCGTCTGAATATCGCATACCTCGACGCAGCCGATTGTACAATTTTAATCAACGGATCAGAGGTCCTATTTCATTACCAAAATTCGTCCACTTTCAACAAGCAACTTCAAGTAAGTACTTTGATTCGCTATCCTTTTCCAATCTTTTATTTCCTTGCAAGCCTCTGTTTTTACTTTATTTTATACTTTACATAGTACTTCACAATGGCATCTGAATCACTTAAAGTTCTTATCAAACAACGTGGTGTTAAAAAGGGACAAATTACCTCGACGCAGCCGATTGTACAATTTTAATCAACGGATCAGAGGTCCTATTCCATTACCAAAATTCGTCCACTTTCAACAAGCACTTCAAGTAAGTACTTTGATTCGCTATCCTTTTCCAATCTTTTATTTCCTTGCAAGCCTCTGTTTTTACTTTATTTTATACTTTACATAGTACTTCACAATGGCATCTGAATCACTTAAAGTTCTTATCAAACAACGTGGTGTTAAAAAGGGACAAATTACCCGCATTCATACATATATACATTCTCATGAAAGCTTAGATTTTTTTGTGTTAGAAAACCGTAAAGGTAGACTAGAAGAAGCATATAAAGAGTGGTGTGAAATTCAAAATCAAATAGAATGTTTAGACGAAGCCGTAGATCACGAAAGCGAGAGAGAGGAGGTAGAAAATCTTCATTTTGAATGTTCAGTTAATATAGCAAAACAAATTCATCATTT